ATCTCTAAATGGATTGTTAAATTGCAATGGAAACTACTATACAATCTTGGTGTGATCAGTGATGGACAGTGGACAGTATAAGAAGTCTTCACTTAAAACAGTGAATGGATAAGAAATAGAAATTAAACTAAAAAGAAAATATGAATAGTCACCAATAAAAGTTGGAGAAAATGCAAAACCAATAAAGCATATTAAAAATGACAAAATAAAAAGGTAGCCATCTTCGACAACTACACCGATTTAATGCTCTACCGTTGACAAGATGTTTTTGGCCCGAAGAATGGTCCAGTGATTGAGATTTGAGAAGCGACACTTCAAACCTTACCACAAATATCCTTCTTTCCTCAAGAGGTTGAATCCCCTAACCTAACCGATAAAGTAGTATTTGAGAGAATGTAAATTATAGTGATTCAATGATTCGATCAAATATCAGTGCGCATAAGGAATGGGTATAATTCCACACTGTGGCTGTCAAGGTTCGAACATTTGTCTATTCTTTTGAATACTGCCTACTGTACCATTAAGCTAAGTTCATGCAGGCTTACCAAATCTTAATCATTGAACCATTGAGCTACTAGTATTTTGAGTTTGGGGCTGAGCCGATTTACTCTCTTTGTACGCAAAAATGTTACGGTATTAATTCTCGAAATTAGATTGTTCAATTTACTTTTTTATGAGCTTGAAGATTGGTTCATGTGAAATTAAAAAAAAAAAAAACTAATTTATTAGCGAATACGTTTTATTTCATACTTATTTGTGAGAAAATATAAGGGTAAGTTCGGCAAATTATATTGTGGAACCGTGTCCACTTGCAAGGTGGACACGGTTCTAAAACTATTCATAATTATGAATATATAGTTCAAAAATTATGAACATAGAGTTGTGAACATATATAATTATGAACATATTGTTCTGTAATTATGAATATAGAGATTCAATAATTGTGAATATGAAGTTCAAAAATTATGAATATATAGTTTTATAATTATGAACATATAGTTCAGTCATTATGAACATAGAGTTCTGTAATTGTGAATATGAAGTTCAATAGTTATGAATATGAAGTTCAAAAATTATGAATATATAATTTTATAATTATAAACATATAATTCCGTAATTATGAACATATATAGAACCGTACGTGTCTACCTTGCAAGGTGGATACGATTCCACAGCATAACGATTGGGGTAAATTCCGCTTTCATACTTGGCTTTAATTTCTACATTGATTTGAGGTGTTTTCAGCTAAAAGTCATTTCATATTGATTGGATATGTTCACATAATCACATGTTCCCCCATACTATATACATGTCTTAATTAATTACCCACATTGATGTTCTAGCTAGCCTGCCAATTTAGTTTTAGAATATAATGAGGACGAGAGATAAGATATGAAAATTTGTACGAAGTTGATTGATATAGATATTTTTTGTATTTGATTTGATGTAACTATAGACAAGTGTTAATATGAAGTATAAGTTCATAAGCCTTGTTTTTTTAGCAACCATAAGGTGAAAGATTTAAATATTATCAATGATTAAAAGGTTAAGCTAAGTATAAATTTGGTCTTGTTGTGAGCATTAGTATATAAGTATTGGTGAGTGTATCGACCTGTTGAGACATATCCGATGATTTACATTCTTCATCCGTCTCCAAGACAAAAGCGGTGAGTGGACCTTTAAGTTTGGAGTTAAAAAAAAAAAATTTTGTCGGAAGAGCAGTAGGTCTTGGTGCTTGAGTCAGTCTGTGGTCAGAAAAAAAAAAGTATAATCTAAATACCATATATAGTTATATCTAATATAAAAGATAGTGATATTGATCAACATGAATCCTAAAAAATTATCCCATTTTTTATTTTTATATAAAATGAAAAAAAAATGTAGATATAATGTTTAATTTGTCTTATTAAGAGTAATATAAGTTTTACTCCCTCTAGCATATATTTTAATTATTTGTCATATTTATTATTCATCAATCAAACTAACTTTTTTTCTTTATTTTTAATATTTGTATTTAATAGTACTTTTAATACTTTCTAAATATATAAACTTTATGTGCTAACACTAATCTAAATATTACTGACAAAATTAAATTTTAAATAATGTGAATCAAGTCTTATCAACCAAACTCAAGACACAAAATAGGTAACAAAGGGGATTTTTGCTCTGTTTTTTTTTTTTTTTTTTTTTTTTTTTTTTTGTTCAGTGTTCCAATGTAAAATATAATTCACATTTTGATTTTGAAAATAAAAATGTAATCGGACACATTTAGTTTGACAATTTATTTACTTATACTATAATTAATAAGTAACAAATACAAAGAAGCGAAGTTTATTCCGTGTATATTTTTAATAATGACTGATTACTTGGTTCTAAACAAAAAAGAAAAAACTCCGTAACAAAGATGAAATTGAATAAAGATGATTAATTCCATATAAATAATGATTTAAATGAAGGGTATTGTAAGACATGCATGACGTGTGGGGCAATGACATTAGGCAGATAACATTAGGTGGAATACATATTGGAGGTGGTGGACCAAGTGAGAGATTTTGATATACAAGTATAAATGATTGAGTGTGTTTGACTTAAAATAAATATATATAGTATTAGTCAATAAAATTATAAATTATAAAAATTATAAGATTTTTTATACGTGAGATGAATTGAAGGAGCAAAAAATGAAGTAATGTAAAATAAGTTTAACCTAAAACAATCAGCAATATAAGAGTTTAATAATGTCATCGAGAGCATAAAATTAGTGTGAATCAAGATCAAACAATGGATAATACCTAAGTTTTTATATTAGTTAGCATCTTAATGAATATAGAGTATTGAAGATTACAAATATGATTCTTTCGCTTAAAGCGTGTTATGAGAAAAACATTAATGACAATTTGGTCAGGCCTACATAAGTCGGAATGGGTCAGCCCATACACGGGTCATGTTGGCGTGATACAAACTCATAATATTTTTTTTTAATCATTTTTAAAGCTTATAATTTACAATTGTAAGCTATAGTTTATTTGTTTATTACATATAAAAAGATTTTATCTTAAATTATCTTATAGAGTCTTAGTGTCTAATAAATTACAAGATTCTTTATATATTAATTTAAATTTATTTGCTATAGCTTATAAGTCATATCTAGCATAAATATGATTAGTCTCGATGTATTGTCCTACTGGATTAATTGAAAAATCTGTAATTAAACAAAACAAAACAAAAACCAAAAACCAAAAAAAAAAAAAAGTTTTTATACATATATCTATTTTTAGTACAAAGAACCCTGAATTAATTAATTAATTGATTATAAGGGGAATGCAACAAATTTAACATTATTTTATTCCCCCATTAATCATTTCCTAATTAGTTTGATATATTAAATTACAAACATGTGTTTTTCATTCTCACTTTTGACTCCAAGATTCCAGCAAATCCAACAAAAAATAAAGAACCCTGAATTAATTAATTAATTAATTATACATAAGGCGAATGCAACAAATTTGAACATTATTTTATTCCCCCATTAATCATTTCCTAATTAGTTTGATTAAATTACAAACGTGTTTTTCATTCTCACTTTTGACTCCAAGATTCCAGCAAATCCAACAAAAAATATTTATTTATTATGTACTATTTGATTGGGTGCCTTGTTGGTGATGGTGAAACTAATTCTTTAATATTTTTTTAATATTTAAAGATTTAAGTATTATTTAAAATTATATTTGTATTTTATTATTACATTAATTCTTTATTAATTCATGATGGAATCAATTAATTAAAATGCTTGAATAGTCATGTTATTGATTTGGTTCTTTCTTCTTCTTCTTCTTTTTTGGTGTGTGCACGATTTTAATTTTGAAGAAAGTCTAGCTCAAGATTATTTGACATTAAATTAAATAATACATAAAAAAAAGAAAAACAAGATTTACTCTCTTGATACATTTAGATTATAATAGTGTGTTCCCAATAGGTAGAGTCCCTCATCTCAAGGGTCCTTCACGTTCGGTCCCCTAGTTACTAGGCTGAACACAGAGGCTAGACCTTTGTGTCTCCTAACATACTATTACTGGTGAGACTCGATCCGGATCATTATTTTCAAACTTCACCCTTGTGATCAACTGAGCTGATAGTGTGTTTTTTTGTTCTTCAAAAAAAATTAAAATAAAAATGGTAGGACCATAGACGACCCTAGCCGGAGAATTTTGTTACAGCAACGCCAAATCCCAAATCTATCCACTCTGCACTTCTCAGGCAGTTCAGACTTCAGAGAAAGAATCATATGAGGAGGACCCCATTGCAGTTGGCATTCATCACATTATCTCTCCTTGTCCCCACACCACACCACCTATTTTCCTCTATTATTGTCCGCAAACTTTATAATATCGATTGACACTGTATTATTTTATATCAAAATATAACAATTATATATTTTCGATAATAATTGTGAATTTTTCTCGTTCTCCATAGTATTTTTATAATTTAAGAGTAATCAACTAATCATACACATCATCAATAATGTTCAACATAAGAAATTTTAACGTGTTCATCACCATTGATATCTCTTATTCGAATTATAGCTCAAAACACTTTTGATATTGTACTAGATATTACGGATGTGTTTATCTACTCAATACAATTATTTATATATTTTTTAAATTATAATTTAACTTACAAATAACTCGCCGCTGATACTCGAAAGTACGCCATAGGTGAAGTCCACTTATAACTATAATGATCAAAAGACAGCAATTGTTAATAGCTGACCAACTTAAACCAAAAGACACCACCGATACTGATTCGTGAACTTTTCCAATAAATTTAAAATTGAAAAAAGGTTAGGTCATGTCAATCTTTTGTTGATTGGTAGTTAAATTCATTAAATTCCTTTCAAACAAAAAATCATTAAATTGACTGATTCCATGGATAAAAACACAAAATTACATGATTACAAACAAAATTGAGGTATGATATCTAATTATTTCTGCCTGATCAGAGGAGTATATAAAGTGATAGGGAAATTGCTTAGATTCCCAGTCTAGAAGGGAATGGATGGTTTCCCTAAGCTATTTATCCTTTATCTTTTTCCTCAGAATTCCAGAAACCCAGCTTGGCCACTTGGATCACAACTCATGCAGTTATGGGAGTGGGTTTGATAGTGATGGATACAGGAAATAGATAGATAGATAGCAGAGTGCAGGTCTTCTTCTATGAGCGGTCACTGGCATGCAACAGTCCACGTGGCAGCCTGGGCGCCACTGCTCATCTCCCCTCTGTATTAATGCTTACATGTACACAGACCTCCTTCCCCATCTCTGTATTCCCAAGAATTTTATTGCCTTTCCATTTTGTATTTTCTGATTGGGTGCATTTTCCCTGGGTTTCTGTAATGGGGTTTGTGGCTCAAAAGGTATGTGGGTGAGTGGGTCTCTCTTAATTTCTGGTTTCCTTCATTGGGCAATCTTGTTCTTCCTGTTTGGCTGATCAGAGCTGATCTTCTGTGCTAAGGGTACTAAGAATTTGAAATAAAGCTTGATTTCAGGAAGCAAAAGGGCAACCTTTTTTCTGTTTTGCCTCACTATCTATCTTGTGTGAATTCTGGGTTTGAAACTTGATTCAAGATTCAATCTTTTTCTTGCCATGATATAGTTGTGAAATTTGGGTTCTTGTTGCAAAAATATCCCTTTGAGGCTGATTAATTGCAGGTTGATCTGTACTGAGAATTGTTATTTGCTATGAATAGGTTATGTTTTCCTGGAATGGAGAGTAGAGAGCACTATATCTATATCTGATTATCTGTATATGTTTGCTTATAGATTCAATTGACAGACTGTGTCTACATATGATCCTCCAAATCTAGTTTTTTTTTTTTTTTAATCTGTCTGAAGAAGAAATTATGCTAATACTTGGACTGAAATCATTCATGGGGAAGAGTTAAATACCAGAGATTCATGAATAAGGTTGATCAGAGCATGTTTCTGGGTTTTTGTTGAGCTCCAAAGTTGCCATAATTTGCTCATAGCCGTGATATGAAAAGGTTGATCCGCTAAAATAAGAAGGCTTGACTAGTTATGGCAATGTTTATTTACCTTCACTTGTGTGTGTGTGTGTGTTTTACAGCGGTGAATGTAACTCCATGATGGTTCTTGGTTTCGACTAGATTCCACGATGGTTCTTGGTTTCGACTAGATTCCATGATGGTTCTTGGTTTTGACTAGATTCCATGATGGTTCTTGGTTTCGACTAGATTATATATGGCTGTGCTCTGTAGATTATCCTGCGTGATTTACAAAGTTGATTCCTGATGCTCCGTATTGCTTTCCATTTATGGGCTTGCTGCTTTTCGGATACAATTTATGTGAAATCTTTGCTTATTTAAACTGTGTGAATTAGCAATTATTCCCACGAGTTCTTGAGAGAAAGATAGCGATTCTGAATTACCTCGATATTCTAATAAGTTTTGTACAGATGTATGAACAGGAAAAAATTTGACGATCATCTAGAGTACCTTTTGTAGAGATGAAACATCGGTTCTGAAAGGCTAAGGATTTGAAGGATAGACTGTTCCGTCATCTGTAAGTTCTAGAATCCTTATCGTGATGTTTAATTTCTTTGTTTTTTTTTCTCAGAAGTTTCCAACTATTTGGTTGGATAACTTTGGAGGCTAATAGTGTTGAGCATATAACCATTAATGTGCAATCTAACTATCAACTTAGGCTTTTAGTTGAATTCAATGCGGAAATACGATATGATTTGACTCTTTTTTTTGCATTAAAAAGACACGAACTGATTGTACAAGAAAGTTTTAAAGAGATTTAATGCGACTAAAAGGGCGCAATAAGAAAATGCAACTCCAACGAGATTTAATGAGATCTCACAGACACCATTTGTTAACAAAAGTTGCATTTTCAAGTTGCTATTTTCTTGAAATCGGCTTGAACACAAGGACTACCACTCCGAAATGCATTAGCAAAATACGATTTCAGAACTCCATCTTTTATACCTTTTAGTAAAGGACTATAGAATCTCTTTGTAAAGCCACTTATTTATCGGGATTGTTTGATTTTGGCTCATGGCAATGACTAATTTCTTTTCAACTTATACTTTCAGGCTTAATTGCGTTGCTGATGATGAGTGTTAACAACAACAACGTGGATATAGCGCTTGCTATGGGATTTTCCGATCACACTGTTAAGACGAAACTGAACGATGATTCAGGTGCAGGTGTAAATGCAGGCTCAGGATTGCACATATTTGCAGCACCTGATCCATTATCTGAATTAGTATGGACTCCGGGAAAAGGTTTGAGTCTGAAATGCGCCGATAACAGCTTAGCTAAGAAAAAACCCATTCTTCTATGGAATGTGGCACCGAGCAACGAGGTTTCTTCACCACCAGAAATTATCAGATTCAATGGCATTAATGATGAAAAAGATATCGGTGAAGGTAATTTGCTAGTGACTCAATTAACCTCCCGCTTGTAGCTATGGAATTTGCTCCGACAACTAAGTTGTGTAATGTTTTCGTCGAGTAGTGGAAATGAAACAAGCAATGTTTTCGTCTTTAGATATTTTGAGTTATGTTATTGGCGGCTAATGCTCCTGTGCATCCACCCTGTTATATGAGTCCGTGTGGACAGATCTTAGCCATTGAATACTTGATCAGTCATTGAATACTTGAGATCAGTGGCTTAGATTTGGCCAATTGTGCAATTGTGCAATTGGGCACGGCAACTGTACAACTGTGCACTTCACTTGCACAGTTCGCGTTGCACAGTTGGCGAAATCTGAACCATTGATCTGAAACATTCAATGGCCAAAATCTGTCCACACGGACTCATATAACAAAATGGACTCATTTGATCACTAGTCTATTATTGGCGGACAGATATCTCAATTTTTTCTATATTCACCCCTCTTCTTTTAGTTTGGTTACTACATTGCGACTTTATTTTGGCAGGGAGCACCAATGGAATGGAGAACATAAATCCCGCAGAGGTAGATGGTAATGTTGATACCAATCAAAATAAGGAATCTCAACGGGAGAATGAAGAGAAGGATCTCTCCGTTCTTCAGACGATAGGAGAGGGTGAACGTGATTCAATACCGCCACAGGAATCAGATAAAAAAGTGGCTGTGAAAGAAGAAAGAAGTAAAAGGAAGATGCAGATTTCTTGTCATAAAAGGAAAGGTAAAGGGAAAGCTTTGTCTGATAGTGATGATTCCAACGGCAAAATGTCAAGTAGCGAGGAAGGCAGCCACGAGAGTGTGGAAAGCTGCAACAGTGCCAGGATTTTTCCCGAGAGCAAGAATCTAGAAAACTCTGAACAGCCATTATATTTGGGGAGCAAAAGAGTCAAAACGCAAATGCAAAGAAACGTTGCTCCAACATCCCCCATAGGACATGGCAGCTCGTTTTTCACTTGGATCTCTAATATGGTGAACGGTTTATCAAAACCCAGCCAAGAAGAAGTTCCTCTGCTTGCACTTACCGTTGCTCATTCTAATCTGGGGCACGAGGGTAATCACAATATATGGAGCACCTTTGCAATACCAGAAATAAGAATATCAAAAGACGATATTTCTGCTGGAGAATCTAAAGATGTTCTCGTGGATGACAAGATGATTATTGACGTTTCGCCAACACAGTGCCCTTGGGAAAACGATGGATCAGATGAACAAATTCTCGTGTCAAACGATAAAATCATCACATCTGCATCAGCAAACGTGGAGGGGGTATCAACTAAATCCACTTCAGCAGAAAACAAAGCTTTGGGCAGTTTGGAATGTAGCAACTACGAGAAGTCGATACATAAATTAAACCCTATACCCTTTCCGAAGTTTAAGAGCTCAGAGGCTATGACTTGTTTGTTCGCTAGGAGATTGGAGGCCTTTAAACACAACATACCTTTTCCCAATGCAAGAAATGAAGCGACTTGCAAAAAAGCAATTTGTTTATTCTGTGGCAAAAGCGGGGATGGTTTCTGTAACTGTTCAGAGGCAACTGAAAGTAAGCGGGAGGATCTTCTAAGAAATATCGGTTCATATGATTGGACTGAAAATTCTCGTTCCTTGTTCAGTAGATGCTTACAACTTGATCATTGGGCTACTACGTGTCCAATCGTATCTTCAGGCAAGCAATACTGGCGAGGACATGGCGATTCTCGTATTAATCATAACGGTACTAATAATTTGCCGCTCTGTTCAGGTGACGCCTTTCTAGCAAAGGAGGAAGGGACTTACAACATTATTGTCAATCACATTGGTCGCTGCAAAGAGAAATCTGGCATTGTCACCGACACTAATAACCTAGCACAAACTCGTGAATCAATCTCTGTTGAAAGAAAAGCGAGATCAAGTGATGTTCCAGAAAACGTGGCTTCAAATCCAGGAGAGAATGTGTTGAAAGGAACCGGAACCGGTGTTTTACCTTTGTCCACTTTTGGTAGCAAAGAGACTGCAAGTGTCCCGAAAGGAGCTTTTGATGCTATAAGGAGGCTTCGTTTGTCCCGTGGGGACATCCTCAAGTAAGCATACAAGGAACACTGTTGTTTTCATTACTACCACAGTCCTTATGCATACCATATCTTACGTTCTACTGCTTGCATATAGTTAATTTACCTCGGGAACTGAATGCTAGTTCTGTATATTCCGTGTTTGTGTTTGTTTTTAAATTTATATATGATTTAACGAGAAGTTGCCAATGACCTTGTGGTCTAGTGGCACCAAGTTGCTCTCCCATATGGGAGGTTGTGAGTTCAAGTCTCAATGGAGGTGATATTGACTCTTTGTGCTTAGGTTGAGAAAGTGGTTATGAACAGATACTGCATTGTAACAGAGTCAGTAGTACCCAAAAAAAAAACGAGAAGTTCCCTTGCACAATGCTCCAAAAAAAAAACGAGAAGTTCCCTTGCACAATGCTCTAACCTATGTTTTCCCTCAGATGGCTGGATTCAAATGCTCCATTGTCGCATTTAGATGGATTTTTCTTGCGCTTGAGAATGGGCAAGTGGGAAGGTGCATTAGGAGGAACCGGCTACTACATTGCTCGCATAAGTGGCATAACTGGTATGTTGTTACCTTGACAAGTATCTTGCGCAATTTTTACACACAAGTAAACACTTGTGTACTAGTCTTCATTTTGTAAAACTACTCTTCCATGCCATTATACATTTTCTTTATCCTTTTGGGAATCTGCAGGGTCCCAACAAGAATATTCAGCAAAAGATGCTAAGAAGTGCATCTCAGTAAGTATTTGTGGCATCACATGCTCTGTTGGAAGTCAGTACGTCTCCAACCACGACTTCTTGGAGGTAGATACGCCTCATCCCAATTTAAATTGTTACTTCCTACTACGCTTTATGTGACTTATTCCAAGAGAATTAATCGTTTTGAAAATAGAGTAACAACAAGAACATATTTAAGAGTAGCTGCTAATTTAAGAGTAGCTGAATCGTCCTAATAATGGTTTGTTGTTCCGGCAACTCTGGAACAATCACTATTCAAGAGTAGCTGCTAATTTAGAATGGCTTTCAAGATTTTGAGGTTTTGGTTACATGTTTTCCTTTTTATTTTTTAGTTTAGGTTTCACATAGTTGACTGGCTCAAACTAAGAAGACCAGTAGGCCGCTCCCTTTGGGAGTCAAACTTGTAACCTTGCCTAGGTTGCCCATAGTTGAAAGCCAATAAAAGTCGCTCCCGTAATCTAACTTGTAATTTTGTTGTTAGCAAGTCATCAGTCTGACTAACTTGGCTACGGTTGCCCCCAATTACATGTGTTTCTGATACGCATCCAAAAGGATGGATGGTTTACTCACGCAGAAAAAGGAAGGATGCAAATCAGGCAAATCAGGATATACATGGGAAGGCTTAACTCAAGGGTTTTGACAAATAAAGAGGGGCATAATCATCTCAACAATCATCTCAGCAATCATCTCCTTTCTATAATTATTTATTTCCTAGTACTATAAATCAGAATCTCTAGAAGAGAGTAGGGCATCGGATTCTTTACCTTAGTCTTTGAAGCTCTAAGTAGCTGGGCAAGAGCCTAATACTCTTGTGGGGAAGGTCTTATGACTTCCTGTTCCTTTTTTTAAGTTTTCAGTCAATAAAACATACCTCTTTGTTCTTATCTCTAACAAATTGGTCCGACCTGCCGTTGAATGGCGAACACACATGATTCCCGCATAGAGACGTTAGAGAAGAACCAAGATGCAATCCGTACTGAATTGACTGCATTGACAGATCGATTTGCAGCCGTAGAAGCTTCTGTGGCTAGGATGTCCGACCTCCTCGCTCTCTCCCTCCAAAGCAAAGGGCAGGGCGATGCCAGTGCGTCATCGGTAGCAGTCCCAACAATTGATTCCAACCCCTCGTCAGAACGATTGGCTCCTCCCGACAACACCACACTTCCCACGGGAAGATTGGAACTTCCTACATTTGATGGTGGCGACCCGATAGGATGGTTGCCCAGAGTGGAGCAATATTTCGCCATACATCACACCCGGGAAGATCTGAAGGTTCCGACAACCTTTATCAATATGCAAGGACCGGCTCTACATTGGCTCCGGTGGATGAAGCGAACGCAACAATTCATAGCTGAATGCCTAGTGTGTCAAAAGAATAAGTATGACACCATGGCACCAGAGGTTTACTCCAACCTCTGGACAGAATTTTTTGACAAATGGGGCACCACGTTGTGTTTGAGCACTGCATACCGCCCTCAAACGGACGGCCAGTCAGAAGTCCTCAATCGATGCCTGGAGCAGTATTTGCGGTGTATGACTTCTGAACAACCAAAGCAATGGGGACGCTTCCTCCATTGGGCTGAATACTGTAGCGTATCTGACTTCAACGGTCAGTTTCCTCACTCCAACCTTGGGGACAAGGTTGTTTCTTTGGTGGGTGGCAATGATACGCATCCAAAAGGATGGATGGTTTACTCACGCAGAAAAAGGAAGGATGCAAATCAGGCAAATCAGGATATACATGGGAATGCTTAACTCAAGGGTTTTGACAAATAAAGAGGGGCATAATCATCTCAACAATCATCTCAGCAATCATCTCCTTTCTATAATTATTTATTTCCTAGTACTATAAATCAGAATCTCTAGAAGAGAGTAGGGCATCGGATTCTTTACCTTAGTCTTTGAAGCTCTAAGTAGCTGGGCAAGAGCCTAATACTCTTGTGGGGAAGGTCTTATGACTTCCTGTTCCTTTTTTTAAGTTTTCAGTCAATAAAACATACCTCTTTGTTCTTATCTCTAACAGTTTCAAGCCTCGGGAAATTGAGCTAGGAAAGATGAGCATTATCATGCTCTGACCTGCTAATATATAAATGCCTGGCTGCATATTCATCTTGAATTATGCTCATTTTTTCACACTGAATCCATAGAATGATAGAAACTCCATTTGCAGGATGAGCTCATGGCTTGGTGGTGCAAAACCTCAGAAAGTGGAGGGCAGGTTCCATCAGAGGATGAACTAAGATTGAAAGTTGAACAGAAGATGAAGTTAGGCTTCTGAAATCCTGCACTGAACAACTTCTGCTCCAAAATTCCTCAAGATTTGCCATGAAAAGACCAAAGATCAAAGTTTTTTTGCATTTCCATTTCCCTATTGGTTTGTAATAAATCAAACATCTGGTTTGTTAATGTCTCAAAGGTGACAACAGTCTGCAATATACACATACAAACATATATGTGAATACACACATATATAGGATTGGAATCAAATAAAAACCACAAACTACTGTCTACTTGTGTATTTGAAAATATATATTTCTGTAATTACTTTTATAATTATAAATGTGCATTTTGGATAATGTTCATAGTTGCTAAACAGCTTCATTTCAAGAATGTCTTCAAACCTTTCAAGCTTTATATTACATAGAACAAACCAGACTACTTGAAAAAAACACCACCATTTAAGATCAATGGCCGAAAAGGAAGAAGAAGAAAAGGGATTACACTGAAACTATATAGTCATCATCTCAAACATTAGATACTTTACAAACCCTAACACAAACTATGTTATCAGAGCCTAAAGCTAACGCCTTTTTCGCCATTTTCATTGCTTCATTTCCTCGCCCTCTTCGCCGGCGACTTGATACTCTTGGGCTTCTTCACCGGAGACTTTACTTTAGACAGGGCCACCTTCTTCACCGGAGTTCTCTTGGCAGGTTTGGCTTTGGCCGCCGGCTTTTTAGCTTTAGACGGGGTTGAAACCTTCTTCTTAGGCTTTTCCACAAGCACCTTCTTTGCAGCCGCAGCTTTGGGCTTGGCGGCGACGGTCTTCTTCTTCGGCTCTGCTGCGGCCTTGGGAGCTTTGGGCTTGGAAGCGGGGACGGCGGCGACGGCAGTCTTGGCAGTTCCGGCGAGCTTGAACGAGTTCTTCACCTTCGTAAGCTTCCCCGACGCCACGAGCTTCTTAAGCTGGACCAGCAACAGCTTCCTGAAGTTGGGCGGCAATTCCTTCTGTTTCTCCTCGATAAACTTCGCTATCGCCACCTGACTTGAACCGGTCCTCTCCTTCAACGCCGCAATCGCCTCCGATATCATCTGGAATTCAACAAAAATCAGATCTCACAAACCAAACAGAGATAAATATTTGAAAAAAAACAGAAAAAGAGAAGACAGAATCAGTACCTCAACATAAGGAGGATGAGCTCGAGGCTTCTTAGGAGCGGCAGCGGCTTTCTTAGGCTTTGCGGCGGCGGCAGCTTTTCCGGCGGTGGCGGACGCCATGAGAGTGAAGATATAGATAAGATTTGGTAGAAAAACAGTGGATTTTGGCAGGGTGCGTGATTGCGTATTTTGAAGCGGTGGAGGAGATGAGGAGAAGAAGTGAATTTATAGGAGGAGAGAGAAGATAAGGAAGCGATGTGATAGGTTGAAAGGAGAGTGGCACGGATCGAGAGGTGATGTGTAAAAGGTTTGAACTTGAGGCGTTGGATTGAGAGGAGTAATCGACGGATGCAGATGTATGTTGCTTTGTGACACGGATCGAGGGGTGGGATTGATGAAAAATGGTTTTTTTTTTTGATGCCAAAAATACAATATTACTAAATGGAGAAATGAAAATATTTCATGAATTATAAAGACTAAAGATGACAGTAACTTTGATTTGTAATTGCTGAGTTTTAATGGGATGTAAGCAACCCATAGAATTAGAGATATCACATCAATACATCATGCATGCCCCTCTTATTAGGAATCTACTACGGAGTACTACTTTGTATTATGTCTAATTTAGGACTCTAGTCTTGTGTATTCAGTATACGACTCTAGTATATATTTTATGTACGTTCATATTATCAATACATTCCTGAATTATGTTATCATCTGGTATCAGTCGTTTAGATTTCTTATGGTGGGTGATAATGACAATTTTGTCAGAGTTTCTTCTGAGCAGACTATTTATGATGTCGTTATTTTGGTGTCTGTGGTTTCTAATAACTCGTTGTCGACCGCCCATCACTTTTTGTTCATCAAACTCACGGCCCGTAATTATTTGTTTGGGAGAACTCAGTCAATACCATGTTTGCGAGGTCAAAACCTATTGGGTTACGTCAATGGTACTATTCCATGCATGCCCGTCTGCTGCCACTGTTCCATCATCGAAGTCCTCTGTTGCTTTCTCTTCGGCATCGACTGCTTCTTCTATTTCCTTTGATGCATGGGTGCAGCAAGACCAAGCAATATCATCCATGTTTATATCCTCTCTCTCTGAGGAGGTGATGCACCTTGCCGTCAGCAAGACCACTTCACGCCAAGTATGGACGTCCATTAAGCAGGCTCTCGACTCTACAACATGTGCTCGAACACTCCGATTGCTCGGTCAGCTTCAGGGCCTTCGTCAAGGAGATGAGTCTGTGGCGGATTTTCTTGGCCGATTGCAAGTTCTTGCAGAAGACTTGGCGTTAGCTGGACGGCCGATGAACTTAGACGATAGGTTGTAGACCTTAACAACCACAATGTAAAAGTTAAACCCAATGTAATAAGCTTGTTGTGTTCACTAGGATGTAATGAACTCCTTGTAAGCACTAGGCACTTGTCTTTTTACCTAATAGGTCGCTGAGTCACTATATGATTTACTCAACTTTTCATATCAGTCCGAGGTTTTAGGGTGTTGGGACAAGGAAAGAAAAAAAAAACTAACTTTTTGTCCTATGAGTATTGGGGTATTGTTAATTTCAACCCACGAGTTTTAAAGTTGTCAATTTGAATCCACAACTATTCAACTGTTGTCAATTTTAGTCCATCTAGCCAAATTGCCGCCTAATAATTGCTAGAAAGTTGCAATTCGCTTTTTAATGCTAAAATTAACAAATTGTGGATTGAAATTGCCAAAATCGAATAGTTGTGGATTAAAATTAACAACTTTTAAACTCGTGGATCAAAATTAACAATACTCCAATACTCATAGGACCAAAAGTGAAATTTTTTCGTTAAGGAAATTTCACCTTTAGCAAATTGTGGGCAAGATATATCACATCATGGGCTACTAAACCAAATTAGTTGAACTACACCCTATATGATACAATCGTTATGCTGTGCATCCGTATGCACCATGCATGGTGCATACGGATGCCAAAACGACGTCGTTTTATTAAAAAGCGCGCGTCTCCCCTTTAAAAAAAATTCAGGTTCGATTCCCAGCAACAACATTATATTGTTCATTCATTCTGGAATTTTAGTTCATAGATTATGGAAATATAGTTCATTGATTATGGAATTATAGTTCATCGATTATGGAACTGTAGTTCATCGATTATGAAATTTTAGTTTATAGATTATGGAATTTTAGTTCATTCATTCTGGAATTTTTAGTTCATAGATTAGATTATGGAATTATAGTTCATCGATTATGGAATTATAGTTTATCGATTATGGAATTATAGTTCATCGATTATGAAATTTTAGTTCATATGTTTGTTGCTGGGAATCGAACTTGATTTTTTTTTTTTTAAGGGGAGACGCGCGTTTTATTAAAACGACGTCGTTTTTGCATCCGTATGCACCATGCATGGTGCATACGGATGCACAGCATAATTTGCCTATATGATAAGTTTCTTGTGTGCACTAGTCATTAGTCCTCTCACCTAATACGCCATTGAGTCACAATGATTCATCCCACAACTATCATGTACAAGTTGGGATATGAGAGCGATAAGAGCAGGGAAATTTCATCTTTTAGCATATTGTGGACAAGATATCACATCATGGGCTACTCAACCAAGCTCTATGTAAAAACTACTCCGTATTTGTTAATTTTTTTTTTATTACAATGTAGTATCTGTCCATATATACTTTCTCAACCTATTGAAACACAAAGAGTCAATACCTCCACTAGAGTTCGAACATATAATCTTCCATTTAGTAGAACCACAACTATGCCGCTTAACATTTTCGATTTAAATCAATTAATTGCAAACAACCTTCGAGAACACACATTTCAAATAACTTCTTTACATATGTTTCACCAACTTTACAATCACTATTCTCTGTTTCATGTTTTCTAAATATACAAAAGAAACGTTTTTTTTTCTTGTCTTCAAATAAATTTAAAGAAAATTTCAATTAGTGAACTCGAACTTATTTTCGAATAAAGCATGGAGGATTATAAGGTAGATACTTCATACTAGAGAAGAGTTGGATTCTTGTAGTACTAAGCTTATTTGGAGCAATGTGATGACAGTTGAAGGGTTTTTACTGTCCTGTCAAAGCAACCTAACAAAAAAGTCAATGGGGGTATCAAGCACTAATGCACTATACAATCTGCACGACAAGGATTTAGGCAGCTAAAAAAAGCACTAACTATTAAGGTTTAGAAACAGCCCTTGCAAACCAATACTAAGATATACAATCACTGTGTGTAAATAAATAAACTACGTCAAATCATTAATACAAGTCCGTTAGCATACTCAAGATTCTGCAAACCGCCTTTCCTGGATGATCTGCCCCAGCTTTGTGAACAGCGCTAGTTGGTCCTCGAATGGAAGGTTCATTAATATCTGTGATGAGGAGGCGACAGAGAAATTAAAGGTATAATCCAAATTCCGAGGTGTGGCAATGGAACTTTTTGTATTGATACACGAATATAAATGTCGGGAATACTATACCTGGTCCAAGATCATCTCGATTGATAGGTTCTGAGGCACCACGAAAGACTGATGATATATATATGCAAAAACAGCCATCACCATCTGGAGTACCGTCAGCAAGAAATGTTCAGAAAATGGTCAGTCCAGAAATCTAACAATGGGTGAGAATTTGAAGCATAGAATCAAACAGAGCCTACGATGCACACTATAATTACTTGTATTAGGAACCACAACCGAGCATTCATCTAGATCATATGTATCTAAGGAACTGTAAGGAAATTCAGACATTTGCGTTTTTCTTAGTAGTCAGGCAGGAAGCAGCACAGATCATAGTTTCTACTTTTCTATGGACTTCACAGAATACTTACTAGTATAAGCATGTTAGTCTTTCTTCCTATTAAAACAATTGAAGAATAAGGCAATCACACTGACTCCCTCTCTCTCTCTCTAGAAATTTAGTTCACAATTAACAAGGCAACTTTAGATACTTTGCAGGTCAATTGGCCAAGAAAATACTAGAGCATCTCCAATAGTTGTAGATTTTGAAAAGTTTTTGCAGGTGTGACTAGGAAAGAGAAGATTGGAAGAAGAAAAAAAAAACAAAACAAAACAAAATCTGAAAAGAGAAATTTGAAAAGAAAAAAAAAAAAAAAAAATCTTCAGATTAACGCCGGGCGCTAGTTTTGCGTCTCACGCGACGCTGTCTTTGCTTTGTTTTTTTCTTGGTGGGTCCCACTATGGAGACAAAAACCAGGTCTTTATCTAATGAAAAACCACCAAAAACCCCTTCCCCCCATTTGTTGAAAAACCATGTTCAAGGTTTTAGGCATGCAAAAACCTCCCCAAAAACCACTATTGAGGATGCTCAAGTAATGCACATGGCACAAAAAGACATCTGAACAGACTAAGTAATCACTATATTGTCTATTCACCTGGCAATCCATCCTATCAGTGATGCCACCATGCCCAGGAATACTATCACCAAAGTCCTGCCAAAAAAAAAAAAAAGAGTAATTTGCAAAAGAAATAAATTCAAAGAGAAAAATGAATAGCATAACAAGGGTCAAGGGCATCAACAAACTAAAAAACAACAATAAGCACGATGGTGAACCTTGACTTTGAAGGCCCTTTTAAAACCACTTGCAAAGAAGCCCCCAAAAGGAGCTATGATTGATGAAAATAGGCCAAGAAGTAATGCATGCCACTGTACTGGCAATATTTCAATCTCTCTCTTAGGAAACTGCAAAAGTTTGAGAGAAAATTATCAAGGATTCAAGAGTGTTAAAAATTATTTTTAATTTTATTTCTATAAGCAAAAGAGAGCATAACTGCACATGTACTCAAACTTGACAGACAAGGATTTACCCATTGAGGAATCCACTCTGGTATAGTGAAATGTTCTGGTTTAAACAAAGGACCAGGATCACAATGAAGCCAACCAGTTGATAAATCCTGTGTTATCAGTGAAGACAGATGTGGAGTTCAATTTCTAAATAACATAAAAGTGATGTTTGTGACTCAATAATATATGCAATATATATGCAATATATATATATATATATATATATATATATATATATATATATATATATATATATATATATATATATGGATGAGCCAGAAAGATCATATCACCTTCCTTGGGCACGTCAGCCATTGAAAACGACCAAAAAAATTTGCAAGCTGCAGAGCCAAGTAAAGTAAGACTAACTAAAACCATCAAAATAAAAACCATAACCA